CGTCTATAATTGAGTGAAACTTTCATTTCTACTCTTTTGCCCTCTATGCAGTAGCATTAGTTTCGTTCGATTAATATATATTCATATAATACATTTCTGAACGTTTTTTCAATACGACTATATAGTCTTTCAAATTTTTCCGCGATTTCATTTCAGAATTAGACTGATGGAATTATCGGTAGCCTTTGAAACGAAATTTGAATACGATTATTCTCTCATTTCAATCTAATTATTGATACTTTTACATATTTGTACTAAATTACGATTTTTGGGTATACAGTATATTGGTTGATCGTAAGAATCGTGTAGAAGGTATCAGACGTTAACGAACGCGTTGGAGAACGAAGTACCGACGCCATGTTCGTTCGCCCTCAGATCTGCCAAGTCTTCGTGAAAATGTGGTAAAGTTAAATTCCTTATATCGAAGCCAGACTTATTAAATGTACGTAAATACTTTTTTTTACTGCATCATTGGTAATTTATTTCATATATCATTGTATAATATGTAATAATTATTATATTTGAGATTTTAAAACATATTCATTAGATCTTGCTATATTTGATTTAAAAAACGAATTAATTCACATATTACATTATTTCGGTTTCGAGTATTTTACAACATCCTCATAATTTGATCTTAAACAATAATTTTTATTATTTTTACGAAAGAGTCGTAATTACAGTTGCGTTGAATTTTCAAACGCAAATTCAAAAAAAGTTATTGCGTAATATCCTGCAATCTGTATGCGCAGTCAGTATGCGCGGTCGGTATGCGCGATCGGTATGCGCAGTCAATATGCGCGGTCGGTATGCGCAGGTTGTTGGCGCAGTTATATTTCAAATTCTATTGTATTCCAATCTCAACCGTTTCTTATTGCTTGGTAAGATCAAGAAACTTTTTATAATAGTTATAATTTTTAAACTTAATGTTTGGTAGATTTTTAATTTCCATTGTTATAGAATAGCATATATATTCTTTGGTTTCACAGTCATTAAATAATCAGGAACGCCCCTGAAGTACAAATTAATATTTCATGCGTTATTACAGGTTTTCTACGATGACGATCTTCACGATGACTTCCTCTGGGCCATTGCAGCATCGTTCTCTGCATCATTGATAAGTCGCATGCATTTTGGTTCCTCTGGTCATTCAATCATGTCGTAGGACGAAAGGTCCGAATCGACACGGATGACTGGTTGTATTACGTAGATTTTCTTTTGAGCATAGTGACCTCGGGTATTTATTATACTCGAGAGTAGTAACAAAATATCTTTTGTGTTTTATTTATCAATTCAGGATAGGTTTTCTTGCACGTCGCGTTTTAATATCAGAATATATTTAGAATTGTTATTTGTAAATAATAGACATGAATATTTGAATGCTGGAGTACTTCATTATTTTGTAGTGGAGAAGTGGAATGCCCTTCGACTTCGTTATTATGAAAATTATAATTAATATATGGCAACAATGATTATGTATTGCTATTCATTGTTCCTTTAATAAACAAGTGCCAATTCCATTCTTTGTCATTTGATAATATTGAGATATTTAATTATTTGACTCGTATGCAATTAATCTCAGTCGAATTGAAAATATAATAATATCACTGTTATATTCCGTTAATGCTAAAATGCATTGGACATTAAGTGCAAGAAAACATTTCGCGACAGATAGATTTTGGAACCAAAGTAATAAGTTTGAACTCTACTTTTGTGCTTTCAAATATGATGTACTTTGGTGAAAGAATCATCTGAGATTATATTATATTTCCATTATTATATAAATTAAAGTCAATTATTTCATCACATCGAGTCCTAGTATTCCTATTCTTTTAATAAATAAATTTTTTATTGATTATGAATATTTTCTTCCAATACTGAAATTTCTATAACTTGTTATATTTGTAAAGTAAAGTCATTGCAAATGAAATGAGAAAATACAAGATGAAACAACGTTAGTCCGTTAAATAAAATATATGTACGCTAATCACTTTTCTAGCTCAGGATTTTTAGGTTTAACCCCTTCCGTGTTCATTACCAGGAACTCATTCACGTGCACAGGTGCTACTTGAGTGGGTGAAAGGCAATGGGCATGATGACCGTAGCTCATAAGCTTATAATAATGTTTTTAGCGGCTGACGATGAGTTAGGGTATCGTGCACGACGTATTTTCCACATTGTGTGTCTGTGGTTAGCATGTGGAATTGCGTCGTTCGTACATTTATTTTATTCGCTTTACCTTAAAACATTCGGAAAATTTATAAATAGTAATTGCAATAGAAGAACATAATAATCTGCTATCAGGTACAGTAGATTATTCATAGCATAAACTTGATAGAGTTTACAATCTTGTTATCAATTTACGATAATGTTATTAATTCTCATACCACGTGTCTTAACGATATTATGCCCTTTATAACATTCCTATTTTTTGAATTATTAATGTCGCGATATACGCAAAGGTCTCTAGTCGTTGTCAGCCGATTTCAGGAAATGGTACGTAAAGTTAGAGTGTGCACGTAGTATGTTCACACTCGGGTGTCGGGGGTGTCCCGGGACGGCCTCTGTAGTGTAGGACCTTGCGCCCGGGTGTATGTGTGAGAACCGTGGAGTGTGGTGTGTTGGAATGCTTGGTTTTTGCCATTTTTCAAATATAGGGGGAGTTAGGTAGGTAGTATATTCTGGTGTGCCTGCTAATTATAAGTAGGTAGGGCCGAGCAGGTTGGCACAGTCTCTGTTCGGGTAGGCGCGTTTTCGCGTGCACAACCTGTTTCAGGAAATGTAATTTGAATAGTCGACGGCGAAGCTGGCACGTTTGGGGGTTGCCATTCGTCACTAGCTTTACCTATCGATTTTTTCAAATTTTCGTCGCGGACGTGGTCGTGATCGAACGTGTATGTGCTCGAGTTTCTGCACGTGTGCAAAGAGGGCGGCCTAGGAATGATTTCTCATCCATTGGATGGGAAATCATTCTTGTTACTACTTTGTCACTATGCTCTTATTTAGTAGTATGTAGTAGTAGTAGTTTGTTTACTGGCCGATGTACATCGGTCCATCATCCTGATTTTCGGCAAATCGCGACTTTTGTAAATAGCGTTGCGAGTAATTAATCACGGTTTGAATTAGTGTTGCGAAGAATACCAGATTTCGCGATTTTTATTAGAGTTGCGGAGGAGATCAGAAATCGCGATTTTAATTAGAGTTGCGAATAAATGTTGATTTCGGTTTGAATTAGAGTTGTGAACAAATGTTGATTTCGGTTTGAATTAGAGTTGCGATGAAATAACGATCGCGTTTGATTTAGTGTTGCGAATTATAAGATCGCGATTGTTTTTCATACCCTTTTTTAATATTGTTAATAATTTTTGAGTATTGTTTCTTATTAAATTTGTAGTGTTGCGGCTTTTACCAATCGAGATTTTTAAAAGTAGTACCTATGAGATAGTTTCTTTATTAAATTCATTTCAAGAATTAGCGTTGCGTTTACCCTGATCGCGTTTTTTCTTTTAATTACCCACCTTCATAATTAGCTTTGCGTTGAAATATGATCGCGTTTTTTCAGTAGTGTTGCGAATACGAAATGCCCAAAATTCTTCCACTGGGCCTGTGGAAGTATAGTCCTGTTCCCGAGAATCACCTGTTGCAGCTATAGAGCTGCACGTGGGTGATCACACATCAGGAGAAAACTGTTTGTTATCAGAGAATTTAGTAAGTTAGTGTTGCGGAATTGCAATTTATTTATTCCACTCACGGTTTGTTACACGGGTTTATATTGGGTGGAAATATTTGTTTTTGTAGCCGTTTTGGCTACCACTGTGTTTTCTTTTTCAACAATCCACAGTGGATTGAAACGAATTATAGGGTATGATGATACCTGCAATGAACTCAGGCAAAGTAATCTGTTTTGAAGTAAAAATAAGCCCAGATTCATAACAAATATAATTTCTGCTACAATACGAAATTTGCAGTATAATAAAGTGTCACGAAAACAGGTGGCACTGATTTTATTTCGTTAGGTTACTAACTCTGATTATGTGCTCCTAGTACATCCTAATAAATCAATTCGGTAGTGGAAAATTAACAAATTGCTCAATTTGTGTGATTAATTTGTGAATTTTTATAATTACATCGCAATGATGAATTCCAATATAATTTTGAATTTAAATTTCTTGTTAATTAATTCATTATTAGTAATTATTGCACGATGTGTGTAAAATGTTACTGAGGATCCTAATGGTTTGCCACTGATAACTATCTTCTATGCAATTAATTTATGAATTACATGCACAGTTAATGAAACAAATTTTAGTATTTTATAATGAAATGTAGTACTTTATTTGTTAAATACAGATTGGCAAAAGATTAAGAATTATCATATTTATACATTTTATATACTAAAGATGTTATAAAATATCACAATATTACAATTATACTTTTATTCCTTTACACTGTACGTGCAAAATACTTAATAATGGAGTTTTATAGCTACTAATAAAGAGAAGATATACAAGAAATTTAATATCACTTCCTCACAAGTATTTCCTAGTCATCAAACGAATATTTCTTAATCGTTATCACGTTTGTTGTTCTACATTAGGTAAATATTAAATAATAAAGGAAACCCGACATGACACAACATTTTTTCGGTAACTTAAAATTGCCAAGTTATTATACTAGCACCAAGAGACCTAGTTATTAGTAACAAAAGTCATATCGATAACACAAACAGTTGTTAAGATATAGAATTATTATAAACGTAATCTTAATTACTTAACGTAGCAACATTTGAAAGACATAAAATAATTGTGTAAAAGAAATACAAAAACTTTGATCATTATATCTCTTAAACTACATAATAATAAAATATAACATACAGTAAGTGTTTAATTGTTATGCAATGACGTAGTTTAATGATAAAAACTAGTAAATTCTATTACCAGCCTATTAGCCATTACAAATTTTGTTAATTTAATTATCTACGATATTTGTTTCCTGTTAAATAAATTTAAATGAATAACAATCGTGATTAACGCACAAACACGATACAAACTAATATCATCGTTGTTATCACAAATTATGATCTTTCTGATTTTGATATGCAGAAAAAATCAGCCTTTTTCTTACAGGTCCAAGAAGGTATCTTGGACCATTTCATTTCATTCGATTCTATACTATCGTAGTAAAATTAAACAATAATTGTGTTTTTTCTTGGTGTAATTTTTAATCGAAGTCCATCGGCGTTGTATAATACCAGTTCAGTGATGAAGCGAAGTTGATCTTCAGTATCCAAAGATTCGACTTGAAAATTTTTTAATATATACAAAATAAGAACCTTGACGATCATCGTGGCATATTTCCATCCTATACAATTACGAGAACCAGCACTGAATGGAACAAAAGCATAAGAAGGATATTTTGGTCCATTAGGAAGAAATCGTTCAGGTCGATATGTATCTGGTTCTGGAAAGTATCGAGGGTCACGATGAAGAAGGAACGAATTAATGATAACTGTTGATCCTATCGGAATTTCGTGCCCCACTGAAAACAAATTAATTTATTAAAAAAACATGCCACACAAAAAGAAATTTTTCTGAGCGAAAATGTGTATTCATGAACAATTTATACTTACAAATAGTAATAGGATGATAAATCTGTCTTGCAATAAGTGGTGTTACTGGATACACTCTCCAAGATTCCTTTATACATGCTTCTAGCCAAGTTAATTTGCTTAATATTTCTAAAGATAATTCTTTTGTTCCTGCTACCCTGTAGTACTCTTCGAGAATCTTTTCCTGAAATGAAAAATATGTTGAGTAGAAATGAAAGACATGTTGAAGTAACACTTTCAACAGAACAAATTAATTTTGTAATTCATTATGAGATATTCCTATTTATTATTTTAATAATGAATATTCTAGTAATATTGTAGTATTGTTACTATATTTAGTTAATGCTCAAATAAATAATTTAATAAAAATTCTATATCAATGTATTCATAGAACACATTAAATTAAAAAGGTAAAAGAAAGATAATACATTAATTGACAATTTTCATCAACAACATTGGTTCTATATATTTTGGATAATAAGGTATATTACCTATCTTATCCATAATATAATATTAATTATAATTTAACTTTGACATTAGGTAGCTACAATTAGCATACAATATTTTTACTAGTATATATAAAAAAAAATTTAGTATTTTTGTAGAAACTATCTAACAGAAAAAAAAAATATCTATTCATATTTTCTACTAATTATTTGTAATAACACAGTCTGCTAAAGAAAGTAGAATCAAATCTAAGTAATATGATATAATAATTCATTAATTACATAATTTACATATGTAGAATTCCTATACCTGATACTGTGGATGCCTTCCCAATGCATACAAAATCCAAGATACGCTAGTTGCAGTGGTATCATGTCCTGCAAACATGAATGTATTCACCTCATCTCGAATATCATCATCAGTAAGCACTCGATTATCATCTGATAATTCTAATAGTAAATCTAACAGAGCTTGACGTTTTTGAGAACGTTCATTAAAATTTCCATCCTTCCTGGCTTTCCACTCGGCTTTCCTTTCAGCAATTATCTGTAAACCAGGAATTATAATAATATCACTTGTATAATATAAATAATGTTAAAGTTCTAACATATAATTTTGATATTTAATTGATTCATAAAAAAAATAATATTCACTTTATTAACAAATCCATGAGTAACACGAAGTGCATGATCATGTTTTTTGCCCCATGTTGTCAACTTAAAAATGGGATCAAAGGACATCCACACGTTCAGAAATCTTCTCTGTGAGATGGAAGCTAGTCTGGGAGAAATACATATACTTATATAACACTTAACATTCGTTTCCTTCCAATGTGCTCATTTTTCAAGAGAGAAAAGAAAATTCACTTACGTGTTCACAGCCAGTACGTATTCGTTTTCACCATTCTGCTGTGCATTGACATTACATCCCATTGAACTATCTACAACACAAAAAGAACAAGAATGTTATTTTTTCCTGAATACAAATTCATGATATATACATTATTGGAATAAAGATTGGCTTCCTTTCAATTCTGAATAGGAGTTAAAAATATATCATGACCATCGCCAAATTGAAATTAAATTAGATTATACATCAAGGAGGCAATGAAAACATGTGATTCTTCATTGTTCAATTAAAATCCTACATATAATATGCCACGTGAAAAGAAAAATCAGTAAATAAAAAAAACAAAGATTTGTTTCACTGATAATGCTCAAAATTGTTTAAGTGTCTATAATACCAAAGACAAATGGCTACATTCCTCACTACTAGACACTGGGAATCAGACGAGTCATTTACTTGCTTTGGCAAAACATATGCGAGCAAGTTTATAAAATCTCAGGAGAACCTAAATAATGACAAGTCAATTCCGACGTCTGGTAAACTACCTGAAGACAATCCTCCGAGTCAACCGGTGAAGCGAAAAGCATTGAACGTTTCATGGAGACATGCAAAGTCAAAGACAACTAAGGGCATTGTCTTAGAACCTAGTCATGTATGTATATTAATTACATTCGAAGCTGCATTTGTACCAAAAAGTACGTTTCATCTACAAAATCAAATGGAAACACGATACTCTGGGACAGTGATTAGTGTTGCTATTGAAATATAGTATTCGTGAGTAGCAAGACATTCGTTTATGCTTGAAAAACTAGCGTGTATACTGTGCGTTCGAGAAAAGAAGGCACAGTGTGTTTACATCCTCGCAAAGATCATCGGTCACCATCTTCAGCCAATATATAGTCACTGCCTGTGATCATGGAAGTGTCAGCGGAGTTGATCAGCCGTAAGGACGTAAACACACCGTGTCTTCTTTTCTCGAATGCACTATACTCTTTCGTTAGTAATTACCGAGGTGCTGAAATATACAAGATGTTCACGAAATCATCATCACATAAAATGAAATTTTATACATTTTATCCTCGCATGGAACTCAATTTCGAGAAAATCAAATTTATCAGGAAAATATATTCCGTATCAGGTGAAGGCATCAGCCCTCCTTTATGAAATAACTGAACGTACCAACCAGTTAGCTCAACCGCGTATTCGGACTGCTGATGATAAATTATATCAAGTGCGACCGAGTGTATCACAAATCCCAAAGGCGTCACCACGCATTATCGAACTCTCAAAGCCACGAATCCCTTACCAGTCTCCACCTAAACCGATTGGATACGTTGCACCTGGAGCACTTACTGCAGTCGGTTTGTATCATCGCTTTAATTCTTCGACAATAGGGTTCGTTAATGACCTTAACGAAGATCAGATACGCCATCGGTAATAGGAGCCATTAAATGACCTCAAAACTAAAACATCACTATGCCTAATGGGACTCACACAGGACTTCAATTCAATTTATTTATCGTGTTCATAATAACTTATGCAAGACTTATATGTCCAATTGTAAGATATGAAAATGCCTATGTTTCTTATGAAAATAGGAAAACAGATATTTTTAAAGATTAAATCAAAATATCCCCTTAAGCTTCGTTTTGAAAATTATCCTAAATTATTTGTATAGTTATAGATATTGATATATGAAAATTATTATTTTCTTTTTAATACTGACTAAGATAAAAATTGTGTAAAATTAGTGAAATAATGACTAAGCTGTGTTGGTTAAATTAAGTTAATTATTCAGTTCCATACGTTCAATCACGATTATGAAAATCTTTATTGTCAAATGAATGGTAATTGATTAATATTAATTATATTATACCTTTATCTTGTTTCATATTTTACGTATTATTCGTTTACAAATACTGATAACAATGGTTATTTTTGCAGCCACTCAGCGAATAATTGAATTATCAAAACCAAAAAGAAGACGAAGAACGAAGATAGCAAACCAAAGGAAATTGAAGTTACGTAAAGAAAAGTCACGGTAATATTAAATTTAATGTTTCCTAATCTTTTATTATTCTAATCTTAACATATTTTAATCACTAGAAAAATTAACCATTATTTCTAAAACGAACTATAATAATATTTTTATGAAAATTATCTTTTATATAGCTTTAATTATTTGTTGTAGGAAAACACATATGAGAAAAATATTTCTTTTATTTTAAATAATTTACAAATATATCTGTATACCACACTTAAAGAAAAGGGGATGAAGAAAATAGATAAGAGCTTCTTTTCTTTGTAAGGTTTCATATTTAGATATGCTAGAAAGAAATTTTATTTTAATAGAACAAATTCTCTAGTTAAAATTAGTTTTAACAAGTTAGTAACTATTATATTAACCAGAAATCTTGGGTAAAACTAATTTTAACTTCCCAAATTTGTTTGAATCGTTTTAGGGATTTTATTGTAATATATGTTTAACAACAGAAAGAGAAGACAGAAAGACAGATTTAAACTCATTATAATAATTTAATTTACTTTCCACGTATTTCTCTTATTCTAGCACATCGATAACTAAGTTACCATGTGTCGCTCAAGAAGAGCACGTCGATAACTAAATTATCATGTATCGCTCTAGAAGAGCACGTCGATAACTAAATTATCATGTGTCGCTCAAGAAGAGCACGTCGATAACTAAGTTACCACGTGTGAATCTTACTTACCATTCTAGCTCACTCAGTGTCGCCAAATTCAAACTTTGAACATTAGTCTTAAATATATGATATCATGATAGTATGATTATTTATACAATTGTCTATAATAATTAACGCTGATTATTTTTATTAGTATCGACTGAATGTCAAACAAATATTGCATCTATGCAATATTGCTATAAATTAATCGTCTTATTATAGGAATTACGTGAAACGTGGTAAAAGAAAATCAGAACGTAAATACAGTGCGTTTCTTCGCCACAAGAATGATCGAAAAATGAAAAACAAAAAGAAACAATCTTCGTTGAAGACTTCAAATTCCAATAGAACTATTATTATGGTTGGCTTGAAATTGAAGAACGAAAAGAAAACTCGTCGTCATTCGTAATTATTGAGAACGAAACATGTTGTTTTCATAGTGTTGTGTGTAGTCTTGAAAGGTTGCCAGCGTTTTAAATTGTCTTTAATGAATTTTTTATACGTGTAAATTTTTTACATGTAAAAGTATTTAATAGTCAGCATCATTAAATCAGTGGAATTTATGGCCTATATATTATTGTTCGAACATCATAATATATTCTGTAGTTATTTATAAATTATAGTAATTATTCACTCGTTAAAAGAAATTAATGACGTGAATAATCATCCGTAATAGTGACTAGTTCCGGTAAATTTGCATTCCTTTCTTTTAATGCAAAAGTGTTATGCGAAATATGTCATGAAATCTGGGTGTAACTAAGCGACAGAAATTTATATTATATCAATTTCATTAATATATTGAATTCTTTATAACACTTTATTTTTATAGCTTGTACCCTGTACCCAGATTTTTATGATAATTGGCTAAATACCGACTGAGCAGAATAGTTCCACTCATTATCTGGAACTTTACGTCGATAAAGTAGGCGTTTCTCTGCTAAATCTTAAAATGTTTCAGAGGAACCTGTTTTATCGATTGAAATAAACGAGCATCCAAAGTAATAAAAAGAATGGCGCCAGTTATAATTTCCCGTAGTCGTAATTCTTTTTTTCTTATGTTTCGTAATGAATTACGTAATAAACCACGTGTTTAGTCATTATACGATTTTATCCTTCCTCGTTGGATTTTTCCTATTTCTTCTGTGTACTATTTCATTTTAAGTCTTGGTTAAACAATACTATACAAACGTAATTATCGATACTTCTGTATAAGTCTAATATAACCTCAAAAATTAGTCGATTTGGCAAACAAGACACTACTGAAACGATTAAAATAAAAAAGTAATTTTTAATAATGGTTAGAACGATTGTCCTATCTCACATACTTTCTAGACTTGAATAAATTTTTTAATATTTCGAATTTTCTAACGTCATTTATATCAGTGACGCTTTGAGTCGATCGAAGATGTAAAGAGATACATAGATAGATTTACTAACTTGAACCTGTCATATCTCTTTCGCAATGGAATGCGACGTTTGATCTAAGAATATTCAAACATTGTAGAAATATAATGGAAACTATTTTGGTAACCAGATTTATATTACATGATTCATACATAAAACAAGAGTTTTATTAGGAAGCCATCGAATTGATTTATATAGCTAATAATATACAGGATGATTCACTTCGATTGAATATCTACGTTATTCTCGTTACTGTGAGCGCTAGGAAAGAATGACAAAGCGGTGTTTCAATGATTACAAAGCATGCATGCGAAGATGGCGAAAAGAATTCTGCCAAGGTGATGTTACTCGATTTGTCACGGACATCGACATTTTTGCATATTAACAATTTATTTTTTACAGTGCGATACTGGAGTCATTACTGAGACGAGTTCAATGACTTGCCGCCCTATCAGTATAAGCTGTCAGCATTTACAATAAAATTAGGTAATAAATAAATAATAATATATAAAAAAATATCAGTGTCCTTGGAAATACCATTAACATGTCCTTGACAGAATATTTTCTCATCACCATTAGTTTTGCACGTTATGGAACGATTCAAACACCTTTGTGTCATTTCTCCTACCTTTCATAGAGGCAGAGATAATACAGTTATAAAATTTTAATGAGTCACCATGTATATATTGAAAAATGAATTAGACATAAACGCGTTATGAATTTTAAGCAACAATAGCAAAATATTATTTACACGTTAGAAATTATATTCCACGGTACTCCTTTTAATTACTTTAGTCTTCTAGCTTTTAACGATTTTAACACGTTGAATGCCATGGGGGTCACTGGTGACCGGCACTCAACTTGTCAGTGGCGCCATGGGGGTCACCGGTGACCGGCGCGCCCAGATTGATAGAAATATATATATATAATTTAAACAAATGTCAATATTTAGAAATTTTTATTATTACCATCGTTAATTCAGTGGTCACCCCCGTCACAATTAACACGTCAAACATGGTTATACATTGTGATTTATCTATCGCGGATAATATTTCAGCATTATATGTATCGCATAATAAAAAATTCATCGTAGCACCACGGGTAATCCCTGTAAAACTGGCGTGGCATTCAACGTGTTAAGTAGTATATTATTACCGAAGAAATATCACGTAATATCGAATAGTCTTACCGCATATTATGTCCAACGTTGCTCGTTTCGCGTAAGGAACAATATCAAATTCCGGTTTGCCAACTTCCTTCCTTAAACATGAAATTAATATTTGTGCCTCCCTGATCGTTCCCTTCAGATATACTTCCAGGAGACCGCTGTGGAAAGTTGGCGTCAACAGTTTCCGATGAAAGTGCCATTTCTCACCTGGAACACGATGGAGAATTTATTAATTTCAATTTCTTTATTCCTGTATGTATTTCTTTATTATTATTATTATTATTATTAAAAAGGATTTAATTAAATAAGGTGTCCTAGGAAATATCATATAATCTCGATCATATTTGATTTCAGTTATTTTTAACTATTGGAGAAAATGTTGAATTATATCAGTATACTGATACATCATTCAAACACGATGGAGAATTTATTAATTTCAATTTCTTTATTCCTGTATGTATTTATTCTTTTTTAATATTATTATTATTAAGAAAGATGCTTCTATAAAAGTATCTGTGTCTATGATATAGTTCTACGAACGTACCTATGCCTATGTAATACTTCAATGAAAGTATCTATACCTATGTGACACTTCTATAAAAGTATCTGTGTCTATGTGATAGCTCAATGAAAGTATCTATGTCTATGTTAATACTTCTACGAAAATATCTATACCTATGTGATACTTCTATGAAAGTGTCTATGCCTACATGATACCTTTATGAAAGTACCTATATGTATGTGATACCTCTATGAAAATATCGATATATACATACGTGGCATTTCTGTGAAAATATATATACCTGTGTGATACTTTTATGAAAATATCTATAAGTGTGTGATACTTCAACGAAAATCTCTATGCCTATGTGATACTTAATTTAGTAACATATCCTAGGAAATATCATATAATCTCGATCATATTTGATTTCAGTTATTTTTAACTATTGGAAAAGAAGTAAAAATTATATCAGTATACTGATATATCATTCAAACGGCAAGTTGACATTAATTAATGCAAAGTATCGAATATTTTATCTGTTCGTTCCTTTTTTTTTTCTTTTTTTTTAATCACTGCGTTAGAATAAAAAAGAGTTTTGAAATGTAAAATATCCTCAGTATCTTCTTTTTCTATCAACATTTGTCATATTAGATAATTTATAACTGTACTTTAGTATTACACGGAGTATTTAAATCACGAAGCCTCATAAATTTGCATTCATACATTCGTTGAGTAAGCAATTATATTTGAATGGCTCGAATACGATCGCAGCTTGATTGATCATCTGATACGTAGATTGTAATTCGAGATTTTCCATTCGTTAAAATACCATCAATTAGTATGATGACAAATAGACGTGGACTTATAACGAGAACTATGTTAGCCGTGTTAATTTCGTAGTCTGTACTTCACATTTAAAGGTATTGTAAAATAATTAAAATCTGAAAATGTGAAAATTTGTATCGTTAATTAAGACTTACAAAATATATAATATTATATATATAATTTTAATAATAATTATATATATAATTAAATATATAAAATTTCAACGCTTTTGCTTATAGCATATACTGTACTTTTTTAACTTATCGCTAACGATAGTAGATAATATACGATTATCTGCTTAAATATTATCTCTTCGCTTACAATTTTTCGAACGATATTACAATTCCTTATCAGATATAATTTCCAAAAAAATTTGGAAAATAATCCGTCATTCGATCTAACATATCATCGATTATGATAAATCAGGAGTGATTCGAGATCTTAATAAATAATCTCTCGATCTAATTTTTAGATTCTGAATGTAAACTCGAAATTTCTATTCTTTTAATCCCCTATAAATAAAGGTTTGCACTTGTTAATCACAATTACATCGAAACATTTTTCTCGTACTTCAAATAACTTCAATTTATAAATTCAAAGATACGAATTTAACTAAATATCGTTCAACCGGTTAGTATATTTTCTTCGAAGTATGCCAAAATGAAGTCTGCTATCGCAATTAACTGTCTCGTTCTTGAAAAAAATTTCAGATCTTAATAAATAATACCTCAATCTAATTTTTAGATTCTGAATTTAAACTCGACATTTCTGTTCTTTTAATCCTCTATAAATAAAGGTTTACATTTGTTAATCACAATTACATCGAAACATTTTTCTCGTACTTCAAATAACTTCAATGTATAAATTCATACACTCTTATGAATTAAAGTTAACACGTTGACTGCCACACAATTTTTCACGATTCTGGTCTAAGAAGCCAATTTGATTTAATCATGTTATATTATTAAAATCTTTATTTACAGTACATAGTAATAATCATGAAGCTTAAAATGTCTTTCTTTTAAAAAAAAAAAAAAAAGAATATGTTACGAATTATCTAGTAGTTGGCACGCAAGATTGTTTTAAAAATGATCACAAACCATAAGAATGTTATTCTGTACGAATAAACTAGTATAAATTTTTTCTTTTTAAATAAACTTTGTATAATTGTATTTTCTGTTCGTTTAAGTCAAGCAACATTTAATATGGCAAATAACGAAGGGTCGAGATAACTCGTAGAAGGTGTCCTGAGCAAGTAAACAACCTACGAGATATCTCGTAGTTGGTAGTCAACGTGTTAGCCCTTTGCACTCGAGGATTTTTTGACTAGAGAAGAGTAGAAATTCAAAGATTCTCTACTAAAAATCTGATGATACTTTTTTGAGTAGTAAATAAAGAATTGTATAATAATAGAATTGTAGAATTATTCGACTTCGATATTTCACATACTGTTACATTACATTAAATTTGATATGTTAATTAATATCGATCTTCCAAATTTTATGAAATAGTGGCTGAAGTTCACCTCTCGAGTACAAAGGGTTGTGCCAAAGCACTTGGTATAGTCATAACTACACCAAGTCATAACCTAACCTAACCTCTCGTGTGCAAAGGCTTTATATGGCAAATAACGAAGGGACGAGATAACTCGTAGAAGGTGTCCTGAGCAAGTAAACAACCTACATGATATCTGATAGTTGGCAGTGAACGTGTTAAATAGTTATAAATTCAAAGATACGAATTTAACCCTTTGCAATTGAGAGGCGCCTCTCAATCACCATTAAATTAGATTCTAAAAATCGATGTTAATTAATATATCAAATTCAAAATTACCTAACCATGCGTGGTATGGTTATGTTATTATGTTATGGTTATGGTTATGATTATTATGTTCAATGTCGAAGTAAAATAATTCTACGTCTTAATTTGCATGCGATTTCTTATTTGCCATTTTAAAAATATCCTCGACTTTATGACAGAAAAATCTTCGAATTGCTATTTTTCTGTAACGAAAACATCGTCGAGTGCAAAGGGTTAACCAAATATCGTTGAATCGGTTAGTATACTTTCTTCGAAGTATACCAAAATAAAGTTTGGTATCGCAATTAACTGTTCGTTCTTGAAAAAAGTTTCACCTCGTGTTCCGGCTATGAATCTTAAGGAATATTTTGCTCGAGGCACCATGGAGTATAAAAAACATTTAGACGGTAGCCATGACGAGGACGCTTGACTCGAGTTCGTTCGTCATACAAATTTTTGCTACTGGTTGTCCGGTTGGCAGTCTGCCGAAATTCCAGCCGAAAAAATCCTGGTATGTCACGGTTAAATGTAGCCTCCAGAAATTAATGGCTGGTCAAGTAGATCGGGTCGATTTGATCTGCCATTCGTATATCTTTTTTCCCTCCATCGCTTTCAGTCGAGTCATTTATTCCTCGTGTTCTTCGATCCGCCCGAAATTAGTATATAAATACGTCTATACGAGTCCTTTTATCTTCGTCAATATCTAACGTGGCAATAACTAAAGCGAAATAATTTTTGGGAATATCTTGTTCGAATAATTTTTCCAATAAAACGTCTCTCAATTTTGCTAAAGAATAATAGAGAGGTACACAGAGGAAGCTAAGAAATTCGGTAACTACACGAATTCCAATTAATTTTGAAATTGGTGCAGAAATTAAATCACCTGACATTTTGATCACTCGTTCGAATAGAAAATCGGAAATTGATTAAAAATAGAGTATAACTATAGAGTATAATTTTCAATTCGATTGTCACTGTCCAAATTCGATTAAATTAAAAATTAATAAAGATTAATAAGATACCAGGTAAATTGTATACCAAGTATACTCTTGATCTCTAGTAATAGAAAAATTAAAAATACCCTTAATACTGTGATTAACAGACAAAGGGGTATAGTATTTGCTTCTGTTTAAGCTCCAAGACTCAAAGTGTATCAATGGTATATACTCTGTATACTAACCACTGCTGGTGACCAAACCGTTGCCAAGCCAAGAGTGTAAATACTGGTACTCCAAGCTCTTGTCGATGTGAACGCTGCTGCTCAATAATGGTTGTATTGCTTCCGCCTTGTAGAGAAAAATGAAAGGTCTCATCCCAACCCAGATCAGATACATATCTCCTAACTCTTTGCCCCATTTGATCATCTTTTTGAAAGCTTCTGCAACAGTCAGACAATTTTTCGTTAATTTTAAGGGAACAAACTTGTTGGAAGGAAGAAATTAAATTCTAGCGAAAGCAGCTATTTAGATCTGTCGATTAGGTATAATTTATATAGATATAGTATCTCACAAGATTCCACGAAGATCGAGGAAGGTACTCGAACGAGATAACGCTTGATAGATAGATGGGGAATTATCACCTCGTGACAATTCCTGGTCTAGCTTTCGCGGTCACCGACCTCGTATATATCTCGCACATATTTCGCACAAGTCGAATTTTTCGTGTTCCTTCGAGTGATCTAATCGATATTATCGAACGTTATCTTCGATCAGATTAGCGATATATACGAACATTTCGATGTATATCGTGCACGATGAGTTTTGATCGAACGGTGAGTTAAAACAGGACATTGTGAAAACAACGTTATCGGTTATCATTCCAATTTGTATAGGGTTTTGATTAAAATTTTCAATTGTATTGTCATTTTCGACTAATATCGTGGTGAGCTAATAATTTTGCATAAACGAAGGGATCAGAGCCTATTGAATTGCTGTACTTATTTGAATTTATATAGGTTTTTGATTAAAATTTTCAATTGTATTGACATTTTCGACTAATATCGTGGTGAGCTAATAATTTTGCATAAATGAAGGAATGAAAAGCTATTGGATTGCTATAGCTATTTCAATTCCTATAGGTTTTTGATTAGAAATTTTAATTTTATTAACATTTTCGACTAATATCGTGGTGAGCTAATAATTTTGCATAAACAAAGGGATCATAACTTATTGAATTGCTATAGTCATCTTAATTCTTATAGGTTTTTGATTAGAAATTTCAATTTTATTGATATTTTCGTCTAATATCGCGGTGGACTAATAATTTTGTAAAAATGAAAGGATTCTCAAAGAACTGGTTTAACCAGACATAGTTTCCTTAAAACATGTACATATGTATACACATTTGATCAAAATAATTGTCACGCGATTCTATACACTTTCTCTAATGTTTAATTCATTGTTATACTAATCGTCTGTTCTAAAATTTATTAAAATACTTATGAAATAATTTATTTGTTAATAATAAGAGTATTAACTAGGCATATATTCTAAAGTAATATATAATATAAAAATAGAACGTGATAATTCATGCTCTAAATCTTGAAGACTCTATGCAGTGATTTCAAGTTGTTTTCATATGAAATGTTAATTCAGCATATCCTTTGCACGTTTGTATTTATCAAAATGTTATTCTGATTATTTGCAACTATCACATATGATCGGTTTTTCGTTACAAGAGATAATAGCTTTAAAACACTTGAGAATGCAGCTCGTGGACGAAAGTTTGAGATTTCACTGAACCGATAGAATAGAATATAAAAAAAATTCCTTCATCTTTTTAATTTTTATGGATTCTTTGTCAAAAAGGTATACGTGAAACCTAAGCTTCTAAATATATGTAAATTACTTTTATCTTATTCGTTAACATTCTTTTTATTGTAGATTTCTTTTCGTCTGGGCCCACAGACTCCCTGAAAGTGTCCTTCGTGACTCATGTTCCTGTATGGGTTCGACATCACTCCTTTATACAGAGATTTCTTTCCATTTCTTTAATGTAGCTGTGTTTTTATCTCTGTTCAAGCTTTTGCTGTGTCGTTTAGCTTTTACAAAAATTTGGACACTTTCTCTGGTATTCATATTTGAACTAACTGATAAACAACCATAGAATGCTTTACTTTCAGTCGAAATATTAGTTCACTTGCTGTTATAAATTATTTTTAGTAGTATCTCCTGGATTATCGTGAATGGCAGTTTCTGACTTTACCCTTGGTGCATAACCTTCCTCAAAGGTTAAATTTGTGTTCAGCATCATGCCTTCAGTTAGTATGAAAAGTTCGTATTTCTATCGTAAATCATGATAACATTCGACATTTTAAAATAACAATGGATTTCTGGTGTCATGCAATTTAATAACAATTGACGATGCAATAAAGTTTAATCGCTGGCATTAACTCTTTGGGGCACGCTGGGATTAAAAGTGACCCACCTTTTCGATGCACCGTAATGCATGGTGGGACATTTTGAGCCCTTTGCACTCGGGGATTTCTTCGTCACAGAAAAATAGTAATTCGAAGACTTTCTGCCATAAAGTCGAGGATATTTTTTAAAACGGTAAATAAGAAATCGTATGCAAATTAAGACGAGTAATTATTTTACCTCGACATTCCACTCATCGTTAAGTAATTTTAGATTTGATTTATTAATTAACGTCGATCTTTGGAATGTGATTAAATGGCGACTGAGAGGTGCCTCTCGAGTGCAAAGGGTTAGACCTCGAAATATTACAATAGCTGCATGCACATAGGTTTATACTTCGTCTTATTCACGTAAAGCAATTGGTAATACCTTCGACAAATGTTACAAATGTATTCGCTCGTGTTGGCAACATTCGACATGCCAGTACAGGTTCATCGATTGTTGCAAGCGGAAGGTTTATTGCGACAATCTTTTTTTCCTGGTTTTATGTTTTTACATCATGCGATTCCTTTATTGGTAAAAATATACCAATTTTGTTTCATTTAAAACGCAATAAAATTTCAGTGCAAAAGATACAGTTGGTCACGGATATATTAGGACACGCGTATAATTTTACCTTTTAAATAAATAAAATATCGTGTATTTTAAATTGATGTATGATGTCGCTATATTAGGATGTAGTTAATATAGAGCACAATATTTATTATAATAGTAGTGGAAGATTTTGTATCCTAGTACTTGTTTGACCAACTGTATTTTTATTGTTCAAACATAGGTTATTCCATAGACTATACTATATTAATTTTGGTTAATATAGTATAATATAGTACAGTATAGTATAGTAATCGTGAAATCCGAATTGCGGAGGAGCGTCATTTCGTACGAAGAAGCAATCTAATAAAGCAAAGAAGGGATTCATGATAATTTGGAAAGAAACACCCCTATCTGAAACGGAACGGAAATTGCACAAACAGTGAATTTTTGCAGTCGGATGAGATTGACGATGTTTCCGTATGATTTGCAGCGGTCGTTGACCCAAGACATCGTACATACAGAAATAGGCCTTTTGCAGTTATCGTGGCCAATCAAGTTATTGTCGTATCTCTAAGCTCGTTTCGGTCTCGTGACGCGGATTACTTGCGAAGAAAAGGAGACGACAACGATGAAATGACAAAGAGGAAGAAGATAGACCGAAATAAGAGCGAACAAGGATGGTTCGTGTTGCAATTCTAGTAAAAGAGCAGTGGCTGCACACTGACCGGACATTGACCGGTAAAAATGCAACGCGAGGTCATCGAGTAGTAATGACTCGCCAACTCGCCATAAAAAGAAGACATACTCTCGTAGACCTTCATGTGCAACGAGATACTTGGTGTCCTTCGGTGGAGAATCTTCGGTTCGTCGTTTACTTGTTTCGATTTTGATGTGTTAGTACATTGTCGGCCATTTTTTCGTTTATTTTCGAAGGTCTCTATTGTTATAACATGCAGCATTGATCAAAGCATTGGCTCCTCGAGTGATTTTCATAGAGTTTCACATTTTCGATGATCTTTCCTTTTCGTTGTTAAATGTTGAGAATGATATTTGGAAAATGTGTACACAAGATATATTAAAATTTTAAGAAATATTGGAAAAATAGGACGAAAATGTCTGTTTCTTTAGTTTCGAATACTAATTAAATAAATGCATCGATATTAAATATTTTATCATCCGAAGGTACGTCCATATGACTTGAAAAAGATATCGAGGAAATAATATGCATTGGTAATTCAACAAAATTCCTGATTTAAATGCTTCACTTAAATGCTTCAAGGTTGTAGAAAAAGTAGAAATGAAACAAATATAGTTCACTTTGTCCGAAAGTATTTTTAATATTTTATAGTAGTTGCAATTGTAAATAAAAATATGGTATTATGGGAAGTGAGAGAAGTAGATTTCTTGATTTATTAAATTACTATAAGCTATTGAATATCATATATAAAATTATTTAATCTGTTCGTACTTGCTATTACACTGGAAAAGTAAATTTAATATTAAAATTTATTAAACTTTTTCTCTTTTCTTCTTTTTTCATGTTGTGTTTTAACATCACTAACAAATGTACATAGATCAGGGGAGCTAGTAAAAATACTGTCCTTTTGCTATAAATCTACTATGTCAAAAAATAAAATTTGGAATAGTATATAACGCGTGGTGCGATCCCAATAATTTTGAAATATGTTATAGAGAACAAAATTGTTAACAATTTTTATTTGAATAAATAATTGTCACTAGGTGGTGCTTTCGAGATATTTGCAAAAATTTTTCATACCATATTGAAGTCTGTTTATAACACTATCATGTGCCGATGATAGAGCTAGAAGGGATCGCTATTCGTCTAGTGTACATAACGGGTGGAGAAAAATTACTGAACTTGTGTAATCTTGCGTGAGTACAATATAGTTGCACCAACAATTTTCGCAAATATCTAGAAAACCAAGGTTGAATGTAAATGATTAACCAAATAAATATTTACAATTTTGTCCTCTATAACATACTAATACAAAAAAATTATTGGAATCGCACCACGCGTTATATACTTTTTTAAATTTTGTTTTAAGAAAAAGTTAGGAATAATAATTCTAGGAAAATAAATTTGGGAAAAATAATTAGGAAAATAACGAAAATTCATAACAATTTTCATTTGAATAAATAATTGTCACTGGGCAGTAGTTTTCGAAATATTTGCAAAAATTTTGATACTATATTGGAGTCTGCTTATAATACCATCATGTGTGGATAATAGAGCTAGAAGGGATCGCTATTTGTCTAGTGTACATAACGGGTGGAGAAAAATTACTGAACTTGTGTAATCTTGCGTGAGTACAATATAGTTGCACCAACAATTTTCGGAATTATCTAGAAAACCAAGGTTGAATGAAAATGATTAACCAAATAAATATTTACAATTTTGTCCTCTATAACATACTAATACAAAAGAATTATTGGAATCGCACCAAGCGCTATATATTTTTTCAAATTTTGTTTTAAGAAAAAGTTAGGAATAATAATTCCAGGAAAATAAATTTGCGAAAAATAATTGGGAAAATAACAAAATGGTTACCGGGAAGCCATAGAATATGTAAAATATGATACACGCGACTTATATTTGAACTAAGACCATTACGCGATAAGCGATTGCTTAAAATCCTCAGTTTCGCTGATAACTTCTCCCTTTTTCAAGACACGTGTAATTGCATGCAATTACTATAGCGTTATTCAAGCTGCGAACGACCTCGACCCGCTTCTTTCTTTGTCTGGTTACGCGCGACAGGCTAACCATTATCTTAAGCGTTCAGTGGGACCGAGGTGGATAAATCCTGCTTTCTTTTTCCCACTTCCTTTCCTGCGATTCGATTTCACGAAGTGCACTCACGAGCAGCCTTATATCTGGAGCAACCGAATTAAACGTCGTTTCCCAAACATCGAACTTTTATCATCCTCGATTAATGCCTTCGATTCACGTCAAATAAATTATTACCCGTTGCTCATTTTACACTCGTGATAATGCACACAGATTCAACGAAACTTGGATTTCTCGCAGACTGTTCCTCAGCAATGTACACTTGTCCCCTGCGCCTCCCCTTCTCGCACTTCATTTAAATATAACCAAACGTGCGTAAGTATTTACGAAAAATCTTCACTTTGTTGCCGTAAATCACACATATTTACAATAAGATAATTTCAGATATCGTATTTATATATTTAGATACAGCCTTTTAATCTGTGTTATGAAAATAAGTGTATTATTCGATGATAATGCCCCGCGAGTTTCGGTCAGTGACAATTTCTGTAATTTCGGATTAAGCGAAACTTAATCGAACGCGACGTGTATTTACAAATGGAGTATCAAGTTCACGGGCAGAAATATCGCGCCATCTAGCTTTCACCGGTATAGTTGCACTCGTCTACCTGACGTTGCACGTGGAATACCGATTGTATGCACTCGTTATCGATGCATCTGCTTGCTCGCGTGAATGTCTTTGATGCCGAGGTTATCGCTATCTTGTGCCAATTTGGAAATAAAAGTACGCGAATACCGAGGTTACGTACGTTTTGTGTCGCGTCTGACGAATATCAGCGATATCTCGGGTATTTGTATTTTTGAAGAAATATTTACCAGCAACGAATCCACTGATCCATTGGTAAAATGTTTAAATTATTCGGTATTGTATTAAAACTGATTATTGCAATCGTTGAAAAAGGAAACATTGGTTGATGATTAAATTTTCTGAAATGATCCAAGTTTGAGAAAGAAAAGAAGAGTCGAGAAATGAGTCAAGTTTAAGATAAAATTTGACGCACGTTCTAAGGGCTCGTAGTGAAAATTGAATAGCTAGGTTTTTCAATATTAATTTGCATTTTAAAGGGATTAAATAGATTTTGTTTTTAACTTTGAAATAATTACCATTACGTAATATTTAAAAAGTTTAAGATAAAATTTGACATACGTTTTAAGGGCTCGTAGTGAAAATTGAATAGCTAGGTTTTTCAATATTAATTTGCATTTTAAATGGATTAAATAGATTTTGTTTTTAACTTTAAAGTAATTACCATTACGTAATATTTAAAAATGAATTGACTTCTGCGTAATTTATGTATTTAGAGAGTTTTTCAAATCAAAATTGAAATACTTTTATAAAATATTAATATATTATACATAGAAAATACGTGAATATCGAAAAAAAATGAATTAACTTCTGTATGATTATTGTATTTAGAGTTTTTTCAAATCAAAATTGAAATATTTTTATAAAATATTAATATATTATATATAGAAAATACTCGAATATCGGATATTAATAACGACACAAGACTTAATATAAATTTACAATAAATCTTTTACGAGCTTCTCTTTGACTACACAAGTAATTTAATTTTATTATAATTACTATATATTATAATATACTGTAATTACTATATTATAGTATAATTATACCATAATTGCTATATATAATAATTATTAAAGACTTTCAATGATTCCAAATTACGTAATATTTAAAAATGAATTAACTTCTGTATAATTTATATATTTAGAGAGTTTTTCAAATCAAAATTGAAATACGTGAATATCGAATATTAATACAATTTACAATAAATATTTTACGAGCTTCTCTTTGACTACCCAAGCAATTTAATTTTACTATAATTACTATATATTATAATATGCTATAATTACTATATATAATATTTACTAAAGATTTTCAATGCTTCCAAAAGTTCTAAAACCCTAGTCAAAAGCACTTATAAAGAAACCTCGCAAATTACCTATTCATTGAGACAGAGTCGTTAAACTAGTTCTTACAATTAGCTACTTTTTCTTTCCACTTCGAAAAAGTTCGATCGCTATGACGTTGGTATATATTTCGTTACTACATTATTGACAGCAGATTAATCTTTTTCCATTCGTGTGTTTATGCGATGATTACACGTTTATATAACGATTCACGATTTATATTCTTGTCGAAAGAGACAGTGTCGAACTCGTAACCGTAATCTTCTTTTTCTCAAATGTAAGAGAATCATAATGCTAATCAGAGTGACCAACCCACCGGTTATCGTATTTCCTAAAATCTCGCGTCGACTCGTGTAACGAGTCTAATCCATTACCATGCGACGACATTTTTACAAACTATCTGTGACGGGCTGATTTATTGCTTAAGGCATCGGCATGAAAAATGTCCATATAGATTATAAGCCGTGTTTGACAGTGGTCAATTGTGGAAACAAATTTCTCCGTGATAATCTCTATCACGAGTGCCATTCGTGTTTGTTACATTTTAACCATAATCTACGCCACGTGTAGAGCTCGATCTTGTATAGCAACGGATTAAGAAACAGTATATTCTGAGCTGTCACACGAAAAATCGTTCGATTTTTATATTTCCATGCTACCATTTGAAACTTTAATAATCGGAATATTATTTCTTTTTGCAGAAAACGTTTCTTACTTACCTTCCGGGCTGCAGCACAGTTGATAGGCATTACCGATAATGGGAAAAGCAGGGGGGTAAGGCACTTTCCTCAAGGCGTAGAGAAACTTCCCTCGTCGCACCAGTAGCAGCACGACGATCGTCATCAGGCACATGGACAGGATCAACGTGAGCCATGAACCTCCCGTGACAAGCGTCGAGGAGGACATGGTGAATGGTCCACGGTGTTCCAACCTACCACGTTTTCTTCAGTATCCTCTTGCCTTTTGCATATTTCACACGTTTATGTAGAATATCCACTCTGTATCATAAGAATTATAACGCCATCGACGGTTCTCGATTCTTACGGTGTTCACTTGTTTCAGGGAATGATAAATTTCTCATTCGAACGTATTTTCGGCTAACGAATCCTTTACTGTCCCTCTACTTCTCTTCGCTGCTCAACTGTCTTTTACTATTCACTTGGTCGATATTTTTGCGATAAACAAGCGGCATCAAGTGCGAAAAAGGAAAAATAGAAAGGATGAACACACGTGTACCCGTGCGATGGGAAACGCGGAAGGAAGTAGACAGGAGAGAATGAGAGAGAAAGGACAAGGAAGGGAGAGAGAAGTGAAAGAGGACGGAGCTACCCCTCTAGGGTCTACTTCGAGGAACTAAGCAGTAGAGGTCCGAGCAGTAGAGGTCTGAATATGTCGAAAGAACAGTGAAGAAGAGGAAGAAATGAAGGAAGAGGTTTGCCCCGGTCGCGTGCAACGCGTGTCATGGAATGACTCCCTCTCGGTTATGCGTGCTCGTACGAAAGAGTCGCCCTTATATACTACTGAATGCTCTGTGTACTACACCAACGGCCAGTGGCTAACTCCTCCACCAATAGAAACAAACACGTGGGACGTGTATGTACGTGTACGTGTATGTGTGCCGAGGTGTCGACCGGCTGTGTACGTACAAAGGTAACCCCGCTTCTTCGTGTTCGTCTCACTGCAAAAGGACAAAATTTACATTTGCACGGACAGACGTGAACGCCGGTTCACATACGGCGCATGAATTTTTCCGATAGTATAGCGAGTACAGCGCTGGGGGCCTTCTCGATCACGGGACCGATATTTATGCGCACGATTCGCAGGGACGATACCGTGCAACGGATTATGCTAGCGAAAATCGGCTCCGCGAATATTTCTACGCTCTCTACGCTGCCGCACGTGTGTGTATAAATAATGCATGCGGGTAATAATAATAGGAAAGAGATACGCGCTATCTCCAAGATCACAATTCGATTCTATCCGACGCGGATCGTCTCAACCCGAGTTTTACATTCAAGGATTTCTCAGGCGGATGACTTGTCGCGTACGGTGATCTACTTTTTCATCGTTTTGCACGAGAAACTGCTCCGACGAGAATATGCCCCTTACACCTGTTCCGAGGATCGATGAATGAAGACGTTTACAAAATGTTTTGCCAACCACACGCGTTTTTGGGCATCTAGTTGAAAAAGTTGCTCCGCGATTAGCGAAAACGCGTCCCATCTATTGCACTCTATAATTGAAGAGGAAAGGAAGCAACGATCTTCGTTGTTCGTGCAAAGAAACAGGCCATGTCGAAACGTATGTGTAACCACTGTCAAAACACTGTGGAAAATTGTGGAGACGTATTTTTATCACTGAACGACACGCGAAGTTTCGTATTACGATTTGAAAACATATTAGGTCACTGGGGTATCCACACTTTTGAATTACAAAATTATTTATATTATTAACACTGTACACGTTTTCGCGAGAAGGAATTTATTATTTTTCTTCGTAAGTAGAACAGTATAGTATAGAACAGTTTTAATAATTTCGAAAGGATATATGCCGTATATTCGATGATTCGTTTGTCTCCTAATACTTACCGTTACCACTCGTCTTACGACTGTTATTATTACTCCCTGTCAATAACGTATACTGGCAAGGTACTGAAAAGACGTCGTGTAATTGTATACCGTGCAAACACTGATTACCGAAAAGGTCGGTCGTTTTATTTCGTTAGCCGTAAATTTCAAACACCGCGGAATGACAGGTAAACGTTTCCTCGATGCGTTGACAACATGTCACTACCTCGATGAGGTGTTTCTATCGGTAGCCAATGTCGCAGACTTCGACTCCCCGTGGTTTCCCTGCGAAATCGTGCGCTTGTACACAGAATATTCATTCATCGGGAGTATCGAGTCTGATTTGATTAAGCACATGTCAAAACAATTACGTCAAGTTACGAACACTGTCACGTATCTTTCGAAAGAGAAGAAGAACGTGGTCCGCCGAGGGGTGATACAAGAAGTTTCAACAATCAAAGAATAAGTCGAGATAAAGAACGGAGACGAAAGCAAACAGACGTGACCAACAATTGACAAATGGCGTACGAGAAGGCGATCGAAAAAGTACAAATGTACGTGAAAAACGGATCCTGGAGTATTTCCTGTGAGCGAATTCCGAGCAAGTTCAGCTTCGTCGAGTACACGTGTAAGACTGTTCGATACTCGTTAGAAAGTGTTTGAACGATCAGCAGGCTATCAGGATCGATAATAATTGATTATATAATTTGATAGTCAATGTACCTCGCATACGCGTACACGTGGATGGTACTCATACGTTCTAGTCTTTCTGTCGCTGATATTTTCACGCTATACTTCTTGATGATGTAGAAATGCTTGGAAATCTGTTGTCGATTTATTGGAAATATTCGGCTGGAATTTTTTATTCCAATGCAAACATGACACTATCGTCGGTATGGAAGGATGTGATTATATCATTAGTTATTTAAGGAAGTTTCAACATGTTTGTTTAATTCGATTGTGTCTTTTTGTAGCTGTCGAAACGAGAACGCAGAAATCCAAGGACAATTAACGGAGAACGCCATTAAGTTTTTGCTTTCCCCCATCGCTGGATAGAGTTAACGGTTGCAATTTTTTCTAATTCGTTGTGCTAAAAATTTATGGCTATTTAATACTAACTATTATTATATTTTAGGTATTATATTTTAATAGGATAAGAATATTTCGTTTACTAATTTTTTCCTTCATTTTCTAGCATAAAATCGTTCACAAATATTTTTAAGGTTATGCGAATTCGCATTTCCTAAGGTTTCTCAGAAATTAGCGAGCTTCTTGGGAGAAATGAAATATTAATATCTCAGATTGTTAATGTCGAGATGAAATAGCACGTTAGATAACAATGCTAAAGGTAAATAGGCAATGGACTTTGACAGATAAAAGGTAGACGATTGCAGTTCATAGAAATGCACCAACAAACGTTGAAACTCCTATTTGCATTTGAATGAATCGTATCCTTTTGCTAGATGTCAATGCACATTGTATTGACATTCACCAGGTGGTTTATTCTATCCATCTTCCTTTCCTTTTCTCTCTCTTCAATTAAAGATTACACTTGATCATAACAATCGTATAAATTGATAAAACTCGTTGAAAAATTAACGGTTTATTTCATTTTCTTTCGTTAATCTTCGTTTCGAACGAGAAACAAGAAACTGTGCAAGTAAAAGAATAAAATTCAGTTGAAAGAAAACGCACTATGTATAACAATGAATAGAATACGCACCGGTTCGACGAACTTACCATAGTAAGAGACACACGTGCTAGGAGAACGTTAAAACGCTATAATGGTCAGCATGTGCAAAATCTGGGAAAATAGGTACTACGTATCCTGAAAATCATTCAGTTACTTAGCTTTTCAATTTCATTTTTCCTAACCTTATATTTATCAGGATTAATTCGTTAAACCAATTAAATTACTAGAAAATAATTAAATAATTAAAAACTAACAGAAAATTATCGAGATTATGATCGAGGCTTGACTTATTAACCCACGTGATCAAACCGACGACAATTTTTCATTACACACGATAAACGACGAGTTTAGGTTATGTTCGACGCTAAATCTCTGCTTCTTTACGGATCAATTTCGAACGTTACGTTGAAGATAGCGAAATCGTTTTTAACGTTCGTCATTATCGGTAATCCACGCGAAAATACGTTAAAATTTTCGATGTGAAGCAACAAGCAACGCGGTCGATTAGATAGAATCGTAGCAGATCCTGGACGAAAAAGAGAGACACGTCGGTAACATGGTGTCGGTGTACAGGCAGAGAGACCCGTGGGAGGGACAATCGTTGATGGCGCTGATTCGCAGGTTGCTGGCATGTATACGTGCATACACGCGTCGGTATTCTCGCAACACAGCGCGTTCCACGTGCCTGACCTCAGCTCCCTGATCTTCCGCGAGTTAGCAAACAAGTGACCTTCCATTACGTAATACGTCGCATTTCCACGTGTAACGCGATCCAGTCGGATCAGGAAAACTCCGATTGTCTACACCCGGAAAGGAATCTCGAAGGGGGAATGGTATCATCGGAAAACGCCGTGAATCTATTACATTTGCATTTGCTTACTGGCGGCGCCACACGTTACATCGTAAGCCTGTACGCGCCATTTCTCCTACTCCTCTGCACTGACATCTCGTCATACGTTATCCGGCGAATGCAACTACGTTTCACGACTACGATTCTTTTGTTCGTTTTACTCGTCTCGTGCCTTTTGATTGTATCTTTTTTCTTCTTTTTTAATTTGAAGAATATCCAGCTAAGAGTTTCGTTCTGATTAATTGAGTTAGATTCTTTGAATTTCAGTTATTTGACCTCAAATTCGTGCTTATTCGAGTCAAATTATTCGATTCGAAGTTATTTAACGTTCAAGTAATCTCATCTCTAAGTAAATGTTTAAAATGACAATGGGAGGACGAGTGCGCTTACTCGAAAGCAAGAAAATATTGTATTATTAAGTTACGCCATTAGTTTTGACATATTTTCATCTTTCATATTTCGATTCCGATATATTTTACCATCGTTATTATCATATTCTTTGTATATTTCTACAAATATATGAGAAATCTTTTTGTTGCACCATTTATTATTTTTTCTTATTTTTAGGTTATAATTGCTTTTCTCACGTAGCACGTGCGTGCATCAGCTTCATGCTAAATATACTTCACGCTGTTCAGACCGTCAACAATTCGTGCAATTGAACGACTTGAATTGAAGTAATGTAACCAATTTGAATAATTCTTTAAATTTAACAGTATATATTCGTGTTTCTGATTTTTATTTTACATTTTTTATTTTCAGAATCTCATCGGCAAAAAAGCTATCGGAATATCGTAATATCGAATGAAATGTATGGAATTTTTAATTTTGTTAAGATACAATGTGAATCCCGTTACTGCTGCTATATGCTACCTTATGCTACATACGATTTCTGACTTCAGCAAGTACTAATTGCATTACCATATGGAACTATATCTTTATACATATATTTATATTGTAACTTCTCCTAACTGTAGTTATGGAATTTTTTTCACATAACAGAACATACCTTGTAACGGAAAATTTTATTATTTAAATTAAAAAGAAATGATTGGAAATCATTGAAATTACATTGAACATAACTCGGGTAACAAATTTGTAATAAATTTCAATTATAATTTTATACCGTACATATTAAAATTCAAATACGTACGGTTATTTTATAATTATACTTTGATTCATGTTATCTTTGAAGTCTATAATTTCACAAAGTTAAAAGTATTATACAATACACTTGTTTTTCAAAATATCTATTTGTACAAAATAGGTCGCTAATCCTTCTCAAGAGAATTTAGTATAACTCTGACAATTGATAATCGATATTCGAATTACACGTGTATAATAATACTTTAATGAAAGGTCTCTTTATAAATATCTATTGAAAGACTATATTTGTAAGCCGATGTAGTCCTTTTCTACTAATTACTGTCATTATATTATACTCGACAATGTTATTTATATTCTGTTATTTATAGTTCTTTTGCAAGTATTATAACACACGTCAGTATACGTGTTCTGGATACTGTCGAGAGATTCAAGTATCGCATTCCGAAGACGATGTAAAATAACGAGACTGAGGAGAACACTGCATGTCGAACGCCATAATCCATTTCCATAAACTGGGAAATTTTTAAGATGCCGTTCTCCCTGTTTGCGTAAGTAAATTGGCACATAGCGTAACAGAAGGTTTCAATTAATGGGGTTTATTTTCAGCTGCCTTCTTCGAGCTGTACGAATTCCAAGAACGGTTGCATTCATTAAGATGCCGTACGAACTGAATGTGGGTCCTACAATCATCCGTTCACGTGTCTGAACTTACAAGGACGAAGACCCGATTCGTTTCGGTTACACCAGACTGGTCTGCTACGCGAGCCGTCCACGGGTTTCTTGTACGAGAGGAATATCGATGATGCATGCCGAAATTATGTCATCTTGCTTATCTAACTTTCTTATCGGCGAAATATTTTTAGAAAATACAACCGCTCGCGGTTTCTTTGTCTACGCCAATGTTAAGATGAATTTTCTACGTCGCTTTTACGCCGGCTAATCCGCGCACCGTTACCACGAGATAAACAATTATTGAAAGAAGGAGAAAGTATTTTCGATCAGATTACGAATCGCTTTAGAAAGTCTACCAAAAACGTATCGTAGATAACGGTTTCGTTAAGAATACACGTGGAGCAAAGTTCGGCGGGATCGATTTATTTTTGCGTTCAACGACTCGCCTGTGATTCAGCAGATCGATTCGAGCCGTATAAATCCAAAATTCGAATTCGATCTTGATGCTGCAAACGTATTATCGGCAATGTGCCTTTCCAATTTTCAAATTCTCCCGCGCTTTTCCACGGAAAGTCTCCATAAAAAGGGAAATAGTTTGCTCGTTGTGTGTACCACGTATGAGTAAATAACGAATAATTTTTATTTTCAGTAAAACTCATTCCGCACTTGTCATCAGGAAGAAGCGGATTCGTCGTTTAACGATGTTAGGAAAATTTTCAAGGATCGTTCGTGTCTCGCAGTGCTGGTGTAATTTAAAATGTATATAGGAAAACTAGGCAAGTGGTATATGAGGAAAAGGGAAAATGGTAGGAGCGACGAAGAGAGAAAGGCAAGTTTATGGATTTATCTAGAA